CAAACCCCTAGTAAGTCAGAGTGTTAAAAATGTACTGGATCATTAAGACTCACTTACTCTTCCTGACTGAAAGATTTTTCATGTTTTCTTTATAATAAAAGAAATAAGATACCTTAAATTTCAAGCATTTGAGACAATAGTCTTGTGTGTGAGATTTTTTCCCCTCCTACCTTCTTTTAATTCTTCTCTAGTTTATAAACACACACATAGTTTAATATCCCCATAAACTCTAGTCCAAGTCTAAAGAGCATCAGATCAATGATGGGGACACAGAACGTCTGTCTCATTTACTCCAGAGGGAAAGATTCCTCTCAGGACAATTCTCACACCCCTTCCCTTCTCCCTTTGAAAATTTAGAAACAAATTGGGGAACAGAGATGCGTGAAGACGCTAGTTGCTGAAGAAGGAAAGTGTGTGGGTACGAAAGGACTAAACTGAAGGCATTTGGATGACAGCCCAAATACATTGTTTATATTTAAGATGTACAACTTGATTTGATACACATATACATTATGAGGTAATCACTATAATCAAGCTAATTAATACACCTATGACTTCATTAATTTACCCTTTCGTGTGTGTGTGTGTGCGTGATGAAAACACATAGAATTTACCCTGGTAGCACCTTTTAAGTATACGATACTATATTAATTAACCTGCTAAAAAAAAAACTGTACAAGTTCCCAGTTATAAGATAAATAAGATCTGAGAAACTAATGTATAACTTGGTGACTATAGTTGATAAGACTGAATTGCATAATTGAAATTTGCTAAAAGAGTAGGACTTAAATGTTCATACCAAGGAAAGAGAGGTAAATATGTGGGGTGATAGATGCGTTAACTAACCCGATGGGGGGATACTTTCACAATGTGTATGCATATTAAATCATCACATTGCCCACTTTAGGTATCTGACAATTTTATTTGTCAATTATACCTCAATCAAGCCAGGGGGAAAAACTGTAGGGGTTCACAAGAGGCCTGCCCAAGATGTGCTGCTTTGGCATGTGGATTGTTTTGAGCTAAAGGCAGTGGAGACCCTGTGAACTCAAGAGAAACTATTGCCCCTCCCTTAACTACCTAGGAGAATTTAAATTGGGGATCTAAGTGGCCGCATCTATATGGCACGACCAATTTCTAGTTACCAAACATCTGCCACTACCGTCCAGTGAGTGACCCTCCTGTCCTTGGAAGCCTTAGGCCCCTTCCCATTCTTTAGCTCGGGGTGTCACACACACCTCATTTTGCCTTTCTGCCTTTGAACCTCTCATGTATGTGGGGCTCCTGCATGTGCCAAATGAAATTTTATTTGCCCCTGTTAACCTGCTTTATGTCAATTTAACTCTTAGACTAGCTAGAAGAACCGAGAAGGGCAGAGGAAAGTTTTCTTCCTCCCCAGCAAAACAAAATTCAACTGAATAGATTTTTAAGATCTTGTTGGCATACAATGTATGTATCAGGCAGCACACAGAAAGGAGGTTCAAGAAACTATATTAAATGAAAGACTTTTATTGGTGGATGGGAGCAGGAACCAAGATGTTATATTAGGCAAAAAAGGCAGACTGGTTACTGCAAGGTCGCTTTGCCTTGGGGATGACAGGCATCTATCGGGGGGATTTCCTATCTAGTGCTGATCAGGCAATTCCTGATTGACTGATTGAAAATTCCGTTTCTGGGAGACCTGAAACTGTAATTAAGTCTCAGTTTGGTGATGGGGGAGGTTAGCATAAGCAACCTATTTGGGGCCTGTTGTCTTATTTTCACATGCCTCTAGTCACTATGCTAGACATTGGATGCTCAGAGCTTATTCAGTTAAATAACTGAAACTTTGAGTCCCTTGACCACGATCTCCCATTTCCCATCTTCCATGGCCCATTTCCTCCTCCCCGCATCCTCTAGTAATCACCTTGGTACTCTGATTCTGTGATTTGACTATTTTAGATTCCATGTATAAGTGAAATCGTACAGGGTCTGTGTACAATTTTTTTCTGACTGTGTCTGGCTTATTTCACTAAGCATAGTGTCCTCCAGGTGCATCCAAGCTGTCACAAATGGCAAAATTTCCTTCATTTTTAAGGCCAGGTCACATTCCATTATGTGTATATCCATTCAGCATCACTAATCATCAAGGAAATGCAAATCAAAACTGTGCGACCAACTGACATCCTGCAAAGCCCAACGACCCCCATTCCTGGGCTCTCAGATGTCTGCTGTGATCCCTCAACAGGTGAAGTACGTTCTTTACAGGGCACGTTTCCCCTAACAAAGTAACTAGGTAACGCCTAATCTCGCAGTAGCTCAGGCTGGCCTGTTTCAGCCCACCTTATCAGAGTCATAAACCCCCCTGCCCTAAACTTCTTACCTCACCTACAACCAATCAGAGACTTGTGCACAAGCAGATCAGGCACCTTGTGGTCCTGCCTTACAAAAGACCCCCACAGCCAGCCCTTGGCGCTCACACAGGCACCTCTCATCTGTGTGGCCCACTCTTGGCTATGGCAGCTCAGCCTAATAACTCCTTTACTATTCTCTTTCTTTATCTCTGGTAAATTCTTTTACCAACCCGTGTGTCATCAGCTCACCAGCCCACCAATCCGCCCACCTGTGTCCCACAACATGACCCAAGCAGTTTGTTTTAAAAGGGGGTAGACAGAGTTCTAGGAAACAGACCCAATAAACCACTTCCAGAAACACTGAGTAACTTACCTTCCTGGGCTGCTTTGGTGGCTGCTCATTTCTGCAGATATAAAGGGGGTACAACTGCCACAATTAAATTTAGGTTGCTTCCCAAATGGCCTTCTATCAGAGAGGCCTTCGAACTTTTAGCTTAGTTTATAGTAGAGTTCATGGATGGATGCTTTGGGTTCATGATAATTTTTTTCCCTATATTGAAAATAGATTATGACACTTATTTGAGAAACACAGGAGGAACAAGTTGACACCGGAAAAGACTGGAGTAGATCAACCATATAATAATATTATCAACAATTGATATCAGCATAACAGTTTATCCTTTAAAAAATTACTTTCACTGGCACAGTTTCTTATAATTTTCTCAATTACTCACTGATGGTCTGTAATATGCCATAAGGACGCCTTGGAAAGCTACGGAGCTCTTTCTTAGCTCTTTCACACTTTAACCCTAGTAGTGTCTCCCTCCTACCTGTACATTTATTGAGTCACTACTTGGTTTAAGTTCAGGAGAGAACATGAACTTGCTGGGAAGGGCTCCAGCTATATGGACCCATCATGACCACCTCATGTTTTCTCAGACTCATCTCTCAAGTCCTTCAAACCCGGGTGCCCAGAGTTTCTACCTTCTTATTCTCCTTCTTCACCCAAAGGATAGAGAGTAGGCGGATGTACAGAGTGTCCTCTGAGACAACCCCCATCCAGTCTATCAGCACATGATTCTCTGTTATTTAAGGAATATTTGACATGCGCTAGGGTTTAAAGTGCACCAGAATTTCTGTAAATACCAACACATCCCTATACATGCCAACAGGTCCCCATCTAATCCCGATAACATATTTCCCATTCAAAGAGAAGATCAGGTGACTATAAAACAGGATGGCATTGCTACTAGCACGCTTTAAAGATAAGTTCTGGATATAAAGTAGACATTCTGCCTATAGGACAGGAAAAGTCACTTTCCCTCTACACTTCTAGGTTCTGAGACCCGGCTGAGATTCCCTTGTAATAGAAAAACAGATTAACAAGAGAAAATGTTGACCTAAGTTAGACAAACAGACTGCTAGTTATTTCTCCAGCAGAAAAATGGATGTATTTGGGATCAGCAAAGAATTGCAATTTGGGGTCTGCAGCCATAGTGCAAGTCCCCAGCAACAATGCAGAGGAGACCTCATTTATAGAGGGACAAAGGAAGCTGGGTGGGCTATAGTAAGACTGTGCATGGCTTTCCATTGGCTGAGTGGTGACAGCCTCTCATTGTCTGAGCCAGCAAAGGAGAGGAAGTCTTTCTTCTTCCTGCTGGGCTCTGCTGTGCTTGTAGAGCATGAGTGCTCCCCTTTCTGGTCTCCTGAGTATTTAATTAAGATTTCTATTTAATATATTTTTTCTTTTTCTTTCTTTTCTTTTCTTTTCTTTTTTCTTTTTTACAAAAGACACACAGAAGCTTAACAACATGTGTATCTCCTATAGGCATGGAAGATACCAAGGAAAACAGTAAAACTCTCCAAAATGGCTCAAGCAGCCACTTTAAATACCATCCTTGGCTACAGACAAAGAGGATGTTGCAAAGGAAAGTAAGGCAATTCATCAGAAGATCAAAGGAGCAAATGTTTGGTAATCAAATATTTGCTGAGCCTTGCAGAGGACAATGGGACAGAGAGTAATTTTAACAGACTTTGCTTCCCTGTCTGCTATACCTAGTTCATATTATACTATAATTATCCATGGTAATAGCTCTCTTCCTGGAACATTCTGCTGACTGGAAAAAAAAAAAAGCACAACCTAAAGGTTGAAAATTATGTTTTATTCTTTGGACCTACTGGGTATTTAAGCTTGGGAGACAGCCTCTCAGACAACTCTGAGGGACTGTCCTGAAGAGGTAAGGGAGGAGCCAGGATATATAGGAGTTTTTGCAAAAAAAAACCCCAAAACAACCCAATAGTTGGAACATCGCAAGATTACTGTTAATGAAAGAAAAACCACACATCTCAAGTTAACAAATTTGGCACTTTTTTACATGTAGGAAGATGCAGGAGTCTAAGATTATTAAAACCATTCCCGTGATACGCACCTTATCTATCTAGGGCCGACGTTCTGTTTCTCTCCACCCTGAGTTCCCCACAGGGGGCACCATTTGGGGTGGCTGCAATGGCTGCTGGCTTGGTGGCCACAACATCCTTTGTTGACTGAAATGGCAGGTGACATTCTTTGCCCACAATTGTTTTAGGCAGTTAGAAGGAAGGTCAAAAGTTCTTCCTGAGTCTTTTGGGCCTTGATTCTTTTCAGTCCAAATAATCCAACATGCCAAAAATATACATTTTGAGGAAGCAAATTATGCTCCCTGAGAGAGGCATATCTTGGGGTGGCATAATCTGTTACCTTTCATGACATTCTGATAACAAGGTGGCCCAGTGAGAAATCCAATCAAGGTGGCTTAGCCAGGAACAGTCCTTGGAGAAATATGTTGATAGAAAACACATTCGAGAATCTCACTTTATCTGCAAATTGCACCCCTGACTAGATACTGTTTCACTTCTCAATGGAAGTCCCACAGTTTACAACTCCAGATGTGGTTTTCCTCACTCAGGTTTCCATTGGAACGTAGCTTAGCCTTACAGGGACTTTCCCCTAGAAGTTTGCTGGGAAATGAGTTTCGGAGCCAGCTCTCTGGTTGTCTTCTGACAACTCTAGATAACCCCTCTCTGGGGTTATCCGGGGCCTTGCAATTCCTTTGTGCCTGCAAATCAGTCTTTGATGTTTGACACTTTTGCTCCAGGCTATTCTCAGAATGAACCCAAGTGTTCTAGATGAGAAGATATGGGAACTGGTTCTCTTAGTAAGGCTGTCCCCTCCTCCCACCGCCACAGCACTGCCAATCCACTGGAGTGCTGCACCTCCCGCTGCTAGTCCTTCCTTCACTGCTGCAGGCGTCTTGGTGCTAAGGAAAAGGGAAAGACACAGACTCTCTTCTCTTCAGATCCGCATACTGATCCCCACTACCACCAGTGACTGGATTGTTGGATCTAAATTAGGTGAGTTACGGTTAGAAGGGTGGGTGCTGAGGATTCTTAAAGGGAAAGGCCCGGGAACACTGCAAGGGGCTTGACTGGACTTCTAGATGGTGGAGTTAAGAATGGACAGTGATCCAACTGGTAAGAAGCAAAGACCTGGATTCAACCTAGCATTGATCTCACTGAAACAGTCCTAGCAGCCTTCCCCTGCTCTTCTCCCTGCCCCTCCCTACTTCCTCTCTGATCTTCCTGAGAATAGTACCATCTTCCCTTGTATCCTCCTGTATACTGTAAATCATTGTTTCATTACTTATAATACCTAATACAAATGTTTTATAAATGCAATGTCAATGCTACGTAAATAGTTGCCAGCTCACAGTAAATTCAAGGTTTACTTTTTGGAACTTCGTGGCTGTTTTTGGAACATTTTTGATCTGCGGCTGTGGTGGCTGAGTCCCTGGCTGCAGAACAGGTGGATACGGAGAGCTGACTGTACATTGAAAGAGCCTGAATCCTGGTCTTCTCATCCTGCTTGGCCCCTTTGTGTCACAAATGAGAAAGTGCCTACCCCCTCCTTCTGGGCCTGATGTAGTACTTGACATTCTCAGAAATGTTCTCAATGCATGTATCTTACTAGACTCTCACAGATCTGTGAGGAAGCCTTTATTAGGCTTATTTGAGGACACACCCTTAGAGAGCTGAGAATCAGGTTGGAGATTCCATAGGGCCAGGTACACTGCTCATGGTAAGTGAGGGCAGAGAGCTGGTTTAAAGGGAGACTTTTTCAAATATGTCTACGCCCTAATTTACAGGAGAGTAAGTCTATGAGGACAGTTTCAATCTTGGTCCTTGATTGATTAGAACAATATTTCATAACTGGAATTCCTTTATGATGACATTCTTAACAACAAATTAAGACCATTTATGATGATGATAATTGGGGATATGGCCTCTGAGAAGGGACATGGGTCGTCAGAAGTGATGGTGTGTTTCACACAGGCTTTGGGGAAGTGTTAGAAGGCAGTCGAGACCCCGTAAGCACCATCTTGCTGAGTCAGTGTAGTTGCAGCCTAGGATTTCAGGGAACGAAAGCCTTTCTGCTGGAAAACATCTCCCAAGTCTCTACTCATCTTCTGTGTCCCCTTAAAAGGAGACAGCCCTTTCCACGTCACAGACATAAAGCTTAAAAGATCATTTTCTTTAGGACACATGCCCTTCTGAGAATTGATCTGGACTTCAAAACAGCTAGCTAGAGGGTGATTGGGTTCTCAGTTCATGTTGAAGAGAGGGCAGGGAGGAGGTGCTTGGAATTCTCAAAATAAATATTATCTATGATTATTATTTTTTACAACTTTGTGTTTGTCTTACTCAGGCTCTAGCACACTTTCAGTTCTTACAAACTTTATTTTCTAATGAGACTTACCATCTTCTAGCCTGGGAATCAGATGGCAAAATTGGGTCCCAGTACCTACATTGACAGGGAAAAGAATTTTAAGTAGAGTTCAGCTCTTAGGGCAGTGTTGAGATAATGCTTTCCTCTCTCTTCCCTGTGGACACACAGGTGGCCCTGGTGACTGAAATGGCATCTGCTCTAAAGGTCCTGGGCCCTCTCTTGGCCCTGCTGTTCCCCCTATGTGGGCTCTTTGTACACAGCAAGAACCTCTCCTGGAGGGAATTCATGAAACAGCACCACCTGAACACAAACTGGGAATTCAGGAAGTACAAATGCAACGATCTTATGAGGGAAAGAGATGTTCCCAAAGACAAGAACTACCACATCTTCATCTATACCTTATGGCACAAAATTGAGAACGTATGCCGCAGGAACTGGAGAGGTCGCTACCGAAATGTCTACATATGGTCCCAATATCCCTTCAAAACGCTGAAGTGCTACCGGGAGAATAACAAAAATAACTACAAAGATTACAAGAGCTACAGCTACATTGAATTCCACTGTAGCATGAATGGTTATGTTGATAGTATAGAGGACACGTGGCTGTTAGAGGATGTCAGCAACTAAAAATTCTACCCACGTCCGCAGCTTTGAGTGTTCAGTGCTTCCCAAGTGGTGTCCTCTGCCTCCCTCAATAGCCCTTGCATTTGTCTGCCAATATTTTCCAACTACTTAGAGTTATGTTTTGTGGAGCCAGCTGGCGCTCTCGAAAGTTCATAAAAACCCCCGCTCTTGGGTTCTCCATGTTCCTGGAGCCGACTGACACCTTAACCCCCACTCCCAACTGCAGGACCCTTCGCATACCTGCATTTCAGCAGGATAAAAACATCTCCTCCTGATACATGTTTTTACCCTACGAAAACTAAGCACCCCAGGACATAGCCCATCTCCTGCCCTTATCAGAGTTGTACATCTTATTATTCAGAGTAGCTTCCGACAGATCTCACAACCAGTCAGGTACCTGTGCATGAAATGATCATGCAGCCCCTACTCCTTGTGTTCACAGCCCCCTTCTCCCCAGTGAAAGACCCTGCACATTCAGCCTCGGTGCTCACTCAGGCACCTCTCATCTGTGTGGCCCGCTGTTGCCTGTAGCAGTATATCTACTCAACTTTCCCTTTGTTCTTAACGCCTCGTAGTCCTTGGTAAATTCCTTTACTGCAAACGCACCAGCTCACCAGGTCCTCCAACATGTTTCACTTTGTTTCTTGCTATCAGAACTTTTCCTATGTTATTCCTC